ATCTGCCATGTAGTGCTCCACAGAGAAAGAGCGTCCAAATCCGGATGAATTTGTTCTAAGCATCGTACGGCCGTAGAGTTTGAGGAGTAAACACACCTAATATCATCCGCATGAATATAAAATTGAGAGTTTTAAACTCTCAATGAAATATAATTTATGTAAACAAGAACAAAAGAGGACCTAGTACGGTACCTTGAAGGATAGCACTCAAAATTGCGGTAACATTGGAGTATGAAAATCCCACCAAGCCCTTTTGTTTTCGATTAAGTAGATAAGATCTGATAAAGTCAGTAAGAGGACTACGAAATCCTATAGCCTCTAGTTTGGCTAGAAGCTGCCTATGAGGTTCTTTATCGAATGTTCTACTAAGATCAAAATAGATAACTACCACAGACAAATTATCATTATGAATGGAAGTAAGCAAATTTAGAAAAGACATGTGACATGTTTCACAAGATCGGTCCGGTAAAAAGTAATGTGAGGATATGAGAATTTGATTGCTCGTGCAAAAATCTGTAATTTTTTGGCAATTAGTTATTCATAGAGTTTAGCCAGAAAGGGCGTTTTGTGAACGCCGCGATAATTATGATATCCAAGTGGGAACCTGATTTAAAAAGTGAAAGTATTATAGAAGTTTTCCAGTAATCAGGGAAAAAACCAGTCTTGAGAAATACTGAAAATAATCTCTTAATTGTTTTATAAGGGAGTTAGGAATGTCATCAGTTCCAACCTAATGTGAATTTTTAAGAAGACTTATTTGTTTTTGAATACTAGCAGGTGATAAATCAATGGTAGTGAAATGTGAAATACACAGCAGAGGGATTACGCGAGTAGGGCTAGTTTCAATGGTAAAGAACTTGGCGAAAAAGAAATTTAACATTTCTGCTTTGTTCAGATCCTCTGTAACAAAATGCTTTTTACTATCGAGTAAGGGTAGAATGACTTTCTGAAGCTTAGCCAACGACCGAATGCGGAAGACCTGAGCAACAGATCTGGATGAATTAGCATCACTAAATGCTATGAACTCCCAACGCCTATCTCATGCAAGCGTAATTTTAACCGCTTATTCAAATATTTGCGCCATTCTTCATTGAACAGACAAAGAGCTATGAGACGGATCTTTAAGTGCATTTCATAATTTTTAAGTCTATTTTGGAGAAAATGTGGAACAGTAGAAGAAGCTGAATTTGATT